AACGCCAGTCAACGCGTTGCAACCAAAGTCAACGTTTGACGATTCAAAACCCTAAGGGTCATGTAAGGATCATAAAATTTTGATACCAGTAAAAAAATAATAATAATAAATTTTCCGGTATTTTAAAATATTCTATTATTATTTTTAAAAGAGTATTTGTATTTTCTTGGCCTTCTAGAATATTCTATGATTTAAAAATCTGATTTTTATATTTATTAATGATTTTGAAAATTTTAAATTAAATAGTTAGGTGAAAACTTTCAAATAAATAATTGTTTTATTATTATTATTGTTATATTATCATTGTTAATTTTTACAAGAAATTTCCCTAATTATTTCTATTTTCCCTAATTTTTTTTTTGTTGTTGTTAATAAATACCTATTAATCCCTAACCCTAATCCATACCCTAAAAATACCCTCTCTTTCTTCCCCTCTCTTTACACAGCCGCCACACCCCTCTCTTTCTCTCTCTCTCTCTCTCCTCTCTTCATCTCTCTTCTCCTTCATCTCTCTCACCCAACCAAGCCAACAACTTCTTCGGCAACCCCACGCCCTCCAAAACCTCACCTCCGAGCCTGCCTCGTCTCCGTCCTCTCCCGCCGATCTTCCTCGACGCCACCGCCTGGAGAGCCGTAATCCACCGTCGCTGAGCCGCCTTTGACCGGAGCACGTCGCCGTCCAGCCACGAACCTCACCACCTTCGTCACCTTCCCCGCCTCCTCCGTCCTCTCCCGCCGATCTTCCTCGACGCCACCGCCTGGAGAGCCGTAATCCACCGTCGCTGAGCCGCCTTTGACCGGAGCACGTCGCCGTCCAGCCACGAACCTCACCACCTTCGTCACCTTCCCCGCCTCCTCCGTCTAGCCACCACGCCGGCCTCTCCATCCCCCTGACGCGTCGCTGTCCAGACCCGCTGCCCTCTGACGACCATCGCCTCCATCGCACGCCATATGTTCGACGGTATGCCAACAGCCCCCGTTGAGCCCCTCAGTGATGACAACCGCCATCGTCGTCCCTAAACATCACCATCACCCTCTCGACGGCAAGCATTTTTGTCATGCTTTTGTTAAATTCGTTCTCAATATTATTATTATGCAAGCATTTCTTATCTTTTCAATTCTTTTATTTTTCCATATACTTCAATACATGCACATAATAGGAGCTTGATTACCATCTTTAAGCAAGCAACTTTCCAACTAATTCTTTTTTTAGAGTATGGCTTTATTTGGAGGGCCCACAGCGAATTTGGGAAGCCTACAACGACCTTTGGAGCATAGAAGTAAAAGGATTAAATTTTTTTATTAAGAGGGATGACATCGGTGGGTTATATATGTTTGGTTTTTAAAGGTCCAATCTGTTAAGATCGTCATTATCAGTCATTCACATGTTAAGTACCATATTCAGCTTTGAGGTATGACGTATGAACTAATTTTTATTTTCCCCACAGACTAGTCGACCAAAATTACATGATTATATAAGTCTAATCGCTGTTTTAAAAAGTCTTTATGAGGGTAATAGCAATTGATAAATAATTATGATGAATTGTGATTTGCATTAATCACACGATTTGTAACATTAGCTTTCATAAGGGATCCTTAAAGCATAAGAAAATTGATTGATTTGGAGAAGTGTATGTTGACTGAAACCGTATAACCCAGCACATTAACAATTTAGCAGGCCTTTTGATCCTTGAGTACGACCCGGCTGAGAGAAGTCCACTTGTGCTAGGTTACAGTTTGTTTCCAAAAGTGAAGCATGTTCTCTAATGATAGTATAAGTAGCAATGACATTTATGTCTAGAGATTATAAGCTTTTAGCCGAAACCTCATCGAAATCTCATTTGCTTTATGTGACCCACCTACCTAATTTCACAATAAGACACTAAGTGATGTTTAATAAAATTCAAACGACAACTACCTTATCCTTATGAGATACTATACTGAATACAATATTGCCTCTATTTGTAACTTTTTCCTATGTGTACTTGTAAAGCTATGATTTTGATACACTCCTTTCTTTGTAAACTCTTCCTGTATGCTCTATACACAAAGTTCTTGTACTTTTGTACACTCTGTATAATCAACGCTGTCAATACTCACTAACTATTAAAGAAGGCAAGATTAAGTGGCAAACCATTATGACTTGATGATGAGTTGATGACGTTTTATGTGTGAGACTGTGCATGAAGACGACTCCTGTTAAAAATATGATATGTAAGCGTGCTTTCATAGCATGGCTATGTTCTCGATATCGACATCCCGATATGAGATTTTTCCTTGGCTATTTACTATTATAGCATCGACTAGACGATGCACCTATCTTGATTTGGACATGTTCTGGGTCACGGTTATTATCATAGTTTTACAGAAGTCGTTCCACGGTAACTCTGTGGTTAGTGCACAACATTTCATGCACAGTCACTTAAAAATTTAATCGACAAATATGGGGTGTATAAGGGGAATTAGACGGAGAATATAGCATGTATATAAACGGGCATATGCGCATTCCTGATATCCTGAGTTATATATATACATGGGCCAAAGAGCCAATTCCTGACTTGAAGCCGTGTTCCCGGGACGGTTTACGGGGAACCGATTTATATACATGAAAATATTTTTCTCTAATTCAAATAACATGTAAAATAAGAATAATGTGCTTATATGCTTTGTGACAGATTTGGCATGCACGACATGTCCTGGATGAGGTTTTGGTGATGTATATTTGTATTGTTTGTTTATAGAATTTTGGGAGTTGAAATTTAGAGATTTACAATTTGAGATATATGGTATATACGAGGGTTTCCTTGTTTGGATTATTCCCTCGACGTACTCATCTCATGTTGTGGGTTTCTAAATCTTAACTCCTTTTAGTATAGGGTATAAGATATGTGCTTGAGGTAGACCACGATTGATATATACAATTAGCAATTTTCCCCAGTCATCTTTAATTGAGCTTTCATCATATTTTGGTTTATAAGATAGGCATTTTCTTTTATCACTGAAAATTTAGAATTTATCTTTTCTTTATATCTATCATTTATACTTACACGCTCACAATTTCCTCATTTTACATGCTTGCTGGGAGTTTTCTGACTCCCCTGGGGTTTGCATGCCCCAGACTTGGGAATTATTCTTTCTTCGCAGGATCAATGGTACTTTAAGGATTAAGACCAGCGACAGTGATCACTTTCTCTCTATTCACTTTCTCAGCTTCAGCTATCGAGTCTTTCTTGTATTCACTTGTAGTATTCCAGACTAAGATGTATTTTCCTCTCCTACTTTGAAGAGTTTTGGACATGTAAGAGAACTTGTCTTTTCAGAATTTTCTTTATCTATCTAGTTTCCTTTGCTATTTTAGTTACATGCTCTATGTAGTAGTTCTTTTAGCAATATATTTGTATATAGGATGATTCAGAGGTGTGAATGTAACTGTATGGTTGCATTGCCGACCGAGTCACGCTCCAAATTATCACGTTTGGACCCGGGGCGTGACAAGGTTTTATTGGTATCAGAGCCTAGGTTTAGTAATTGTTGTCTCATCCTGTATACACGTACGAACTAAGAATAGACCAAAAATAGAGCATGTATAGACTAGGTTCTTTCCTTTCCAGAAATTAGTCCTTTAACTCCCAATACCCTGATTCTCAAGTACTAACCTTGACCAATCTCATTTCAGTCCAAATCTTGACCAATCTCATTTTAGGGAACCCCCTACTCCAGTTGTCCCTCATGTGCTTGGAATTTAATTTTGAGAGCATGATCTTGGATTTAGAAAATATGAATAAGGTGTTATTTGAAACTAAGTTAGAGGATCAAGAGTGAGAAAAAAAAATTTGTATAGAATTTGCATTTGATGTTGAATGAGGCGAGAAGATATTTTCATATTATGTCCAGATTAAGGTGATAAACAAGGTGGGTGAAAAAGAAAACTATTTGAGATATCAAAATTTTAGTTTGAAAGTTTAATGGTTGAGATATGCAAAGACCCGGAAGGAGGTTTGCTAGGACATGTGATGAAATAAAGATTTACTAAAGCTAAGAAAAGAGTTATAATGATATAAGATTTTTATAATGATTTTGATTTCCGATCGGACTTATTTGATGATTGAATATGCATGGACATACATATAGATCAACTTCGAAGATATTTGGTGAATTTCTGATCTCGACAATTGAGAATTTGTGAGCAGCGATGGAGGATTTATATAAAAATTGTACTTCATCTAAATTTATATGATTAGTATAAAATCTTTGGGGATGAGTTCAACATTTATATTAGTAGAGCAGTACAACAAAAAGATGACATCTAGAATGATATAAATTTTGAAGAGAGATATACACTATATTTGGACTATGTTCGAAGTTAAGATGAGTGGTACATAATTGATTGGAGGCATCTTGAAATTGAATATGACTTTTTAGCATTTAGATGTGCATGAGGTTGTACTAGGACAATGAAGGAATAACGACTCTACAGAATTTGAGATAGGGTGTTGAGAATGTGATTTTATCCAGGTTAGATAACTGGACTCTCATCTTGTACATAACTATTGGAGATTTTGAGATAGAAATAGGAGTCTGAGCATGTATTAGGCTCGTTCCCCTTTGCAATATCTTTTTGCGCTTACTCCTTTGATTCCGCATCCAACTTCATTCCTATATTAACAGTAAATTCTTTTTCCTTCTCAAGCCAATTGTATACGGACTTAGTCAATGTGCATAGATAGGGTTTTTGTAGACTAGCCCCAAGCTTCATAAGTTAAGTAGCATGGAAGTTTATCCAGCCACTAGCCCTCACATTAGCAGCAACTACAAGTTCATGGCTGTTCGTTTGGATGAAGTTATCTCAGTGAACGGATCATCTAAATTTGTAACCATTTAGCTCCAGCTAGGCTAGTATCTTAGCATCGTTAGGTCATGTGAGAGGAATGTTTTAAAGCTAACTCGATGTAGATATGCATATAAAGCAAATTCATCTGGTGATCTTTGTGCAATTGATTATCTAGATTATAAATACTGAGAGTGGCTTTCCTAGTCTCCAAAATCAGGAATCGTGTGGATGAAATTACATGATATTGAGGGTATATATTGGAGACTTGATTTTGTCAGGCAACCATGTAAAGTTAAGGATTTGCTTTGAGGATATTAAATGGCTATGTTGAGTAAATTAAAAATATATTCCTACGATTTATGGATTCTAATTGGATTTTTTTTATATGGTTAGGTTTGACTATGATCTTGGATTTAATGATTGTAATCTCTAAATTGTGTTAAATCGGATCTTCATTGTTCATTAATCAATTTGGGGGTGTGAATTTGGTACGACATTGATGAATTTTGTAAGTTAAAAATTTATGGTAAGAAGTGGTTCATAACTAGTTCATGATCTCTTATAGGGGACTTATGATGAAATTACATAATGAAAGCATCATCAGATCTGATTAGTTAAGAGACACAAGATTGGAGTAAACCCATGAGAACTTTATGGGGATTCATAATATTGGAATTGAGATGATGATTGGAATCTACAAGGTGAGAATTTATTTGGAAATTATAATGGATAAATCCTTGTAAATAGGTTTAGCGGGATCAATAATAAGTGTTGTAGATAGATTAGATTTGAACTTGATGGATTAGAGTGGTTTAGTAATGAGTAACTACATGATACTATTTGCTTATATATTAGGTTATAAAAATGATGAGGGATATGAACTGGTCCAGAATGTCTTGTATTAAATCTTTCTATCGTCACATTATATCTTTCAAAAAAAAAAAAAAAAAATCTTCCGAGTGATTGCATGTATGAGTATATGTAGTTGACACGTGAGCTTGGCATGAACCCGTGTTTGCTTGATATTTGTGCTCCTAGAGCATCCCTAAACTATTCAATACTGATTATGCATGGTGTATGATGTTGATATGACTATGTACTCAATATATGATTGATATATTACATGATGCTTGATATCTAGAAAAATATATATATTAATTCTTGAGAATTTCCATCGAAATATGATTCCAAGCACAAGTTTATAAGGTTAAGAAATACAAGGATATGAACTTCATGAAAAGTCTTAGGCTAGGATCTGCCAGTTTTATATTAGTATCAAATTATCTTATTATATGCATGTTTATGATGCCATAGTGTTGAATGTCAAGCGAGTCCTTCAAGACACCATTGTAACATTGATATTGGGATACATGTTTTAGTGAGAGGGGGCTCGTGATCTTCCTCCACTGGATTGTGATTGGTGGTGGTCCTAAGGGTGACGATCCTTAGGACCAAACTTGGGAAAGAATTGGTTTACATGTATCACGTCTTGACTGATCTCGCCGGGGATTCATGCTATGGAGAGTCATTCTAATAGGCGTATAATATCTGGTATGAGACATATACCACGAGAATCTAGATTTACGTACCACATCTCTTTATTACCTGTAACGTCTAGCTTCTCTTGTGCTTGGATTTAAATTTCGAGGACGAAATTTCTTTTTCTTAGGTGGGTAGGATGTAATAATCCTTTTTTTAAGTAGCAAATTAATTATTTTAGTGGTTAAATATGGATGCCCACATAATGTAAGGTAAATAAAAAAAAAAGGACGAAATTTCTTTTTCTTAGGTGGGTAGGATGTAATAATCCTTTTTTTAAGTAGCAAATTAATTATTTTAGTGGTTAAATATGGATGCCCACATAAGTGTTTTGTTCAAAAAAAAAAAAAAAAAAAAAAAAAATCTCCCTCAAAACCTCCGTGATTTTAACTGCCCACATCCTCCTCTGCCAAAATCTCCACTAAGATCCCCTTCCGCCTAACTCTCCCTAAATCCCTCAAATCTTGGGAAATACCTAACAAATCTTATCTCTCTAAACCATTTATATTTCTCTACCGATCTCTACACTTGATCTGAAAAAAAAAATAAAAATAAAAAGAGAAGAAGAAGAAGGAGAGAAGGCATCGATTATAGTTGACGAGAGAAGGAGACCGGCTATTTGAGGAGAAGGAGTTGTTGGTGCTTACGTTTTCAACGCTAATCGGCAAGCATATTTATTCTTTTAACTCTTTAATTGGTCTCTTTATTATTTTTCATAATTGACACATGTTCATCTCCTTGTCTGTTTTACAAATTTCAGAAAATTTCAGTTTTAAATATATTTCATCCTTTTTATTTGGTCTTGATCATTATCCTCAAAGATTGATTTACTTATTTCTGCAGTAGTTGAGATATATAACATTAGATTTTGAGGTCTGTAACCGGTTCCAAGTTATACATGTTGGATGTATGTTATGTTTCTGATTTTCGAAGTCTAATGTACCGGTCCTAGTGTCTGACTTTTTATACACGAGGACTAGATGTTTATAACTCATTAGGAGAGAAAATGTATACCTATGACAGCTATATAACATTAACGGCAACCAATATTAGTTCACTTATCAGTCTTTGAGTAGGTCTCCAATTAATAATCTCTATGACGAATCTTCACCTTGACAATGACTATAATGTTTGACCTGTTCTCCTTGTTGTCCTCAATTATTATTTTTATTTATTTTCATTTTTGTATTTTTTATATATCATTAGGAGAAACATCATGCTGATGACTAACCTAGGATTTGATAATGAACCAAGAGAATATCTCTGATTGTAGCATGCACCCAATCCCATATCCCTTGATGTGTGCTAAACTTTTCTCCTTTCATAGAACGACTCATGTTATTTCTTGACTGAAACCGTATAACCCAGCACATTAACAATTTAGCAGGCCTTTTGATCCTTGAGTACGACCCGGCTGAGAGAAGTCCACTTGTGCTAGGTTACAGTTTGTTTCCAAAAGTGAAGCATGTTCTCTAATGATAGTATAAGTAGCAATGACATTTATGTCTAGAGATTATAAGCTTTTAGCCGAAACCTCATCGAAATCTCATTTGCTTTATGTGACCCACCTACCTAATTTCTTAATCGACAAACATGGGGTTTATAAAGGGGAATTAGACGGAGAATATAACATGTATATAAACGGGCATATGCGCATTCCTGATATCCTGAGTTATATATATACATGGGCCAAAGAGCCAATTCCTGACTTGAAGCCGTGTTCCCGGGACGGTTTACGGGGAACCGATTTATATACATGAAAATATTTTTCTCTAATTCAAATAACATGTAAAATAAGAATAATGTGCTTATATGCTTTGTGACAGATTTGGCATGCACGACATGTCCTGGATGAGGTTTTGGTGATGTATATTTGTATTGTTTGTTTATAGAATTTTGGGAGTTGAAATTTAGAGATTTACAATTTGAGATATATGGTATATACGAGGGTTTCCTTGTTTGGATTATTCCCTCGACGTACTCATCTCATGTTGTGGGTTTCTAAATCTTAACTCCTTTTAGTATAGGGTATAAGATATGTGCTTGAGGTAGACCACGATTGATATATACAATTAGCAATTTTCCCCAGTCATCTTTAATTGAGCTTTCATCATATTTTGGTTTATAAGATAGGCATTTTCTTTTATCACTGAAAATTTAGAATTTATCTTTTCTTTATATCTATCATTTATACTTACACGCTCACAATTTCCTCATTTTACATGCTTGCTGGGAGTTTTCTGACTCCCCTGGGGTTTGCATGCCCCAGACTTGGGAATTATTCTTTCTTCGCAGGATCAATGGTACTTTAAGGATTAAGACCAGCGACAGTGATCACTTTCTCTCTATTCACTTTCTCAGCTTCAGCTATCGAGTCTTTCTTGTATTCACTTGTAGTATTCCAGACTAAGATGTATTTTCCTCTCCTACTTTGAAGAGTTTTGGACATGTAAGAGAACTTGTCTTTTCAGAATTTTCTTTATCTATCTAGTTTCCTTTGCTATTTTAGTTACATGCTCTATGTAGTAGTTCTTTTAGCAATATATCTGTATATAGGATGATTCAGAGGTGTGAATGTAACTGTATGGTTACATTGCCGACCGAGTTACGCTCCAAATTATCACGTTTGGACCCGGGGCGTGACAGACCAAATGTGAGTTTTGTGAGGGAAGATTGATCTAAAGGAGTGATCAAATCTCATCTCAGCAAAAGAGTATTCGGAAGTCATAGTAGGAGTTTAGTGTTTATCACTTTTGTTCATAATGATCGGGGTTATCCCTAAGAATATTACATTTAACATTCTTCCGGGAACTTCCCGTTACATGAATTATCCACCCCCAGCTTTCTTTGCAAAACTGGGTGTAATGAGGAGTACGTTATCCTCAGTCGCATGTTCGGGTTATCCTTAAGAATATAAGATTCTCCAGGAACTTCCCGTTATATAAATCATCCATCCCCAGCTTCCTTTGCGAAACCGGGTTTAACATTGTACTCAGTTGGATAATCAAGAAGCAGTTTATACTCATATACTCTTTGGAGTGTTGAGAAGCAGTTTATACTCGTATACTCTTCGGAGTGAGGGGAAGCAGTTTATACTCGTATACTCTTCGGAGTTAGGGAAAACAGTTTATACTCGTGTATCCAATGGAGTAGGGGAAAACAGTTTATACTCGTGTATCCGATGGAGTAGGGGAAAATAGTTTATACTCATGTATCCGATGGAGTATGGTCGTCTTTAATCGGCTTGTTTCGCCGTTATGACGCCGGAGTCAATTAATGCTTGGATCTTGTTTTTGACTCCAAAGCAACTCTCGGTGGGATGAAGAACCCTTCTGTGGTACGCACAGTAGTTTGGATCTGTAATTCTCTTAGCTCCCTCCTGATGGCGAGGAGGTATTTCAATATGGCTGTAGCTTCATCATTTTCGAAAGAATACTCCTTTTGAAACTTCGGATCGAGAGTCGCGTTCTCAGTGATTGTAGATGTCGTCGGTCGGTTTCTCTCAGCTTTCTTTCTTTTAAGAAAGTGTTCAGCTTGTTCGCCACGTAATTTCAACTCTTTCCAAGTTTTGGATGGTACGACCCCCAGGGCTTCCAGGACATCGATGGAGAGATTATTGTGACATGTTTGCAGGATGAACTCCTCTGTAACAGGATCTTTGCAATTTATTGCCTTGTCACGGAAGCGCTTGACAAAATTATCAATAGACTCTCCATCTTTTTGCTTCTCATCCAAAAGGGTTCCGATTGACACTTCGGTGTCATCATCGAAGAAATTACTGAGGAACAAACTTTCCATGTTACCCCAGCAATTGATGCTCCCTGGCTTGAGACGTCGGTACCAATCGAAGGCGGGCCCACGAAGGGTGCCAACGAATGACCGGACCATTAAAGCCTCATTTCCGGAGAACTTCTTGAGCCGTCATCAAAGCATTGATTTTGTCTTCAAGTTTTTGCATTTTCCCGTCATCGTCTTCATTTCTTTCTGAATGATGTCGAGTAAAGATAATTGGACCACCCCCAGTGAGAGGTGCTATTGAACCACCCCCAATATCGTTATTGGGAGGATCCGTTAAACCACCCCCAGCGTTATTGCCATTGGGAGGTGTATCAGCCATAATGACTTCATCCACCTCTGGATCACTGTCCTCTACAACATTCCGAGTGTGGTGGCTGGATTCAAGTCGCTGATTGGACTCAGGAGGTTGAGGCTGTTGAGTTAACAGTTCTCTCATTTGTTGGATAGCCAACTTCATTTCTGTCTTCACTTCAGCTCTAATTTCTTCGCGTTGTTTGGCTAGAGCTTCTTGAAGTATCTGAGCAAATTGATCAGATGTGATCGTGAGTACTTCTCTGGTTTGTCCCGTGCTAGACATTGTATCATCAGAAGCGATTGCAGAATAAGTGTCCGAGAATTCATCCTCCGAGGACATTCCTTCTTGCATTCTTTTGTAATCTCTGCGTCTGATGGCTCCTAATTGGAGTCGAGACATCCTTTGAGCAATTCTTGGATTGACTTTTCCTCTCGGTGAAAAGTCGGGATTTGAGTCATTTGAATGCCGCTTAGACTTCCTTTTATCAGCCACGTTGATGGTGACTTCAGGGAATTCATCATCTTGGGCAGCTGATTTTCTTTTGCGGAAATGTCTCGGTTTAGGCTTCGACAATACAGAGACTCTTCGTGGGATGGCTTCTCGTTTGAAACAGTCACATTCTGATAATGCTGCTTTAACGAGTCGCACACAGGAACAATAAGAGTTTATTTCTCGAATAGCTCTCTTTTGAAAATTATTCACAACCCCAACTTGATAATACGACTCATCGGTATGATTGCCAAAAAATCGTATCGTCTGTTGGCATGACCTCCCAAGTATGACGATATCATTTGGTGAATGTGTCTTCTTCTGTGGGTGTAAAACCTTGTTGGCATTCTCAGGACAATTTATTTCTGTCTTTGAGCGATCCAAGGTTATGTCGGGAGTCACACGTTTAGAACCACCCCCTTGCGGGTATGGAGTCTTAACGGGCTCCGAATGCTGATTTTGCATAAGTCTAGACTTTGCAATCCAAACTTGGCAGAGTTTTGGTGGTTCTTTGGCCACCGTTTTCTTGTTTCTTTCCCATCTTTGTTGTGAGAGAGCACGAGTAAGAGCAGCGTTTGCACAATGTTTTCGTATGCGTTCTTTGAGGGTCGAACGAGTCTTTTTGACAATAGTCCATTCCTCCGTCGTTGTTTTAGTAGAGATACGAGTGATTGGTTGTTGAGACAACTGAACCACTCGATGTCTCCTCGACTCTAGGTCCGCGTGGTAACGAACCCCGTCGGTTTGTTCCAAGGCCTTAGCTATTTGACGAGCGCGGCGCTGACGTTGTCTCTGACGAGCCCTCTTCGTCAGTGCCGGTGGGCTTTGATTCGATGACTCTTTAACTAGATAAGAGCCATTGTGAGCAGAGGTGTTGCGAGTGAAATTCTCAGCAACAATCAAGTGAGAGTCTTCATTTTGTGCCTTCTTTGGCATGTATGTCTTTCTCAATTGTGAGATCCTCTTATACTTGCGAGACAATGAAGATCTTGAAGAGGATGATGAGAGATATTCCTCAAACTTGGTTTGGTCGAATTCGTATTCGACCATGGATTCAACCGGGATCTTGATGATTGGCTGCGACACGACGGTCTCGGCAGCGAGACCGTTGGCTCCCACTGTGGTCGCCAGCTTGTTTGCGTCAAAAGTTGGTTTTGTTATGGAATTCATTATATCTTCGGTCGATTACAACAAATTCAAAAGAGATAGTCTTTTTATAAGACTTCTTTTACACAACAAAAGAAAAATTACAACTTTTTAGAAACAAACGCAGGATCGTTGTTTGGATCGCTGCTTGCGTGGGATCTTTGCCTGTGCCGGGAGCGCTTTGACTCGTGGACCACCAAATCACAGATTCTGATTGAACCGTGAGGGGTTTAATGATTCTTCCTTCGTTTATCGAAGTAAGAATTTGAAGCGAATATCTTATCGATGTAAGATGTTCACTCTTCCAAAGATCAAGTCTGAGCTTAGATCTCTAGGACTCGCTAGAAGCTTCTTGAGGATGTTTGTGAAGAAGGAAGACTCTCTCTCTTGCTCTAATTCACCAAAACTCAAGGCTCTCTGCTCTAATCTGCTTTGGAAATGCTCCGCCCCTGTCCATGATGACCATAGGGGGGTATTTATAGCCTCCTTAGACGATAACTGAAGAAATAGCCGGTCAATAACTGTCTCTTTAGGCGCGGCAGCTGATGCTGTCGCGGCTAAAGGGCGCGACAGTCGACACTGTCGCGGCCAAAGAGCGCGACAGTCGACACTGCCGCGGCTAAAGGGGCAGTTACACCCACGTTCATAGGCTGCCGCGTCTAAGCCGCGGCACCATAGGCTGCCGCGCCTTAGCCGCGGCACCATGGTCTGCCGCGCCTCAGCCGCGGCACCATGTCCTGCCGCGCTGCCATGTAGTTGCTTGATGATGTGTATAATGTTCTTCTATGTTATCTTGAGTGGTGTTTGAACGTCTGTAAGCATTTTTTGACGCCTACAATAGGAATATAGATTCCTACACAATCTATACGGAAACAAAGACATAGGTTCACTGACCTCAGCGCACGCTCATGCGGGTAACTAAACGTAGATTCAAAGACCCCAGCGCACTATCATGCTATCAATAAACATAGGTCCATCGACGCCAGCGCACTATCATGCGGATAATAAACACAGGTCCATCGACCCCAGCGCACTATCATGCGGATAAACAAGTGTCATAGGTTCATCGACCTCTTCGCACGCTCGTGCGGATAAACAAGTGTCATAGGTTCATCGACCTTTTCGTACGCTCGTGCGGATAAACAAATATTTGAAATGGAGTGAAATTCATCATGGTCTCATTTGCGGTGTACTAACTCACTAACTCAAAAGTTTAATCGTAACAATGTTTTATCATAATCCCCTAGGAATACTCACGTAAGTATTATAACATATTCATGACTATAAGTGTAACAATCGAGCGGCTCAAACTCCACGAACACATCTCAAAACAGAGCAAACAAACTCCAGAAAATAAGAAACTGGCCAAACTGCCCAGGAAATGATCAGCGCTACTGTTAGTAAAATGAGCGTATCTTTCTCTAGGAAAACTATTTTTAGGAATGACTTTCTGTTTTAAAAACTAGATTCATGCATCTTTCAATTGGAACTATCTTGGTTCAGTTTGAAGTTTAATATCAATACCAGATTTCAGTTGAATTTGCATACACGTGCAGCAGTTTTTTGCAGGATATGTTGTTAATAAAAAGAGCCTATCTTTCTCTATAAAAACTCTTTTTAAGGTTGGTTTTCTTTTTTAGAAACTATATATACATATATTTCATTTTGTACTAGTTTGGTTAAATTTAGACTTCATTTACTATACCCAGTTTTCATTTAAAGTTCATACTCGTGCAACAGTTTCTCTGCAGGACATGTCATTAGTCATTTGAGCATATCTTCCT